TTGTTTTTTTTTGGAGGGGGTAGGGTTTTTTTTTTGTTTGTTTTTTTTTTTTGTTTGTTTTTTTTTTTTGGCCAAATCATGTTTGCGACACAGGCAGTGCTATTTTATCTTCTTCATGTCATCTCTTCTAGAAACTCATTTTGTCAGAGACATCCATCTTTGATGTGCTACCCAACTTTTTCTACCACAGTAACCAGGTGGTGAGAATGGCAGCTTTAGAGGTAAGTTTTTGCCCACTGAAAAAAACAAGTACTTATAATTTTAAATTAATTTTTAATCAGTGTTACCCTGTAGGGTTGGGAGCTGTAGGTTGTGTGGGATTTGGCGTGGTTGGAGTCTGGCATTTAACAGCATTAACATTCATAGTTGGTTGGAATTTCAGATGCAAATTATCTTCTCTGCTTGAAGAAGACTCGCATGGTTGAAGGGATGGAAGGTGAAGCTGCTGTCAGAGAATGTGGTCGGCCCACCTTATAACTTGTGGCTGCTTGCCACCAGAGCGGCCTTTCTCAAATAACAATATTTTAGTCCTTCTAGTTGAATTAGGTCTTTATATTCATCTGGAGGTAACTCTCCTATTTTTATGATCTCTCTTGATCCGTCCTTTGTCTTTTTCCTCCTTCTGCCTCCTTAGCACAGTCAGCTGATGGGGTTTCTCTTTAACCAGGTGTACGTTCGCAGGGCGTACATTGCCTACGAGCTGAACAGCGTCCAGCACCGCCAGCTGAAGGACAACACCTGCGTGGTGGAGTTCCAGTTCATGCTGCCCACCTCCCACCCAAACAGGTCAGATCATGCATTCAGTGCCTTTGGAGTCGGGGATCTGTGAGGGACTTGCTATCTTGGCACGGAAATCTCACAGTAGAACTCGTAGAGAAAAGGATGATCCCAGGGCATCAGATAAGCACACATTTCTTAGGATAAAACCCTACGTTACCCAGTTCTTTCTATTAAATTATTTAAATTCTCAAGAGCTATGGGCAGTAGTTCCAGCAATTTGGATTCATTTAAATATATTGCAGTCTTCATATGTGTTCCAGTTTTTAGTTCAGCTTGTGTAGTAACTTTCCTCTACAGAATCGGTTCTGGCAGAATCTTGAGCTTTCTGAAAGATGCAGGTCCAGGCAGAAAGAACAGCTGGGCTCTTTCCTCTTGCTGCATTGCTCCCTCGCCAGCTTTTTGTAACTCTTTGTGGCTGGTTGTGCTTTTAAACCTGGCTTTATTGACGTGGTTACACCTTTTATGGCATAAGGACGAGCAGCCTTTGTTTGTTTGAGGAGATGTGGATTTGTTTTATGCAGAAGCATTCGAGTTTTGAAATACTTTGGTTTTCAGTCAGTATTTTTCAGAACGTATTTCTCACGATGACTGAATCTTACGGTTGCAACCAAAAGCACCAACCATACCCTGCTCTGCCCTATGGAGGAGCCACGTCTTCTCGTGTGTGCAGAGGGTATTTTAAGAAAGCTTTGATTTTTTTTTTTCAGAACTTCTCCAGCATCTGTCAGGCCAGTTGGTCCCAGAGTCTTCCTCATGAGGTGCTTGGGGCAGAATGTGGTTCTGTCCCGGGCTGCAGTGTGCCGGAGCCGAGGCGCAGTGCTGCTCCGTGGCCGCCGGGTGCCGCTGTTGATCTGTGCTGGGTGGCAGTGTGGTACAGGTGCTATTTTCCTCCTTTGTTTCCAAGCATCTTTTTCCTTATTTTATTTTTGGTAGAGCTGGGCAATGGGGTCCAGTCTCGCTTCATTGAGAATCCATCAGTACATTTTATGAAATGGTTTTCAGAATCTGGTTTGCTAGAAATGAATGGCTGTCCTCAACAAGCAGCACAAAACACTCGTGATACAAATGGGACATGCATTTGGTCTCATCTGTTTCCTACATCTCTAGAATGTTTGTAAATAATTGCATACTATTTTTGGTACTTCTTTACAATACTCCTCCCTTGCAGCCCCTCGTTCTCTATTTCCTCTCTTTGCTAGTCTGTCACCTCTGCTTGCGGGTTGCGTGGGCTGCCCACGCTGCCCACTGTGCTGGTACTGAGTGCTAGCATAGTTGGACAAGGTCAGCTGGGAGATGAGAACTGTTACCTGCCTGGGGAACAGCTTCTTTGTCCTGAAATCTCCTCTCCTCTTTATTGTGAATTTGCTGGAGCAATGTTCTGAAGCTGTATGCTGCTTTTCAACAGTCAGCACTGCGGATGGTTGAGTGGAAATGCACTGCATTCCTTGTGCAGAGGCAAGCAGGCTTTGGGGACAAATTCACTGCTGGCACAGGCAGGTTCTGTTCTTTCGAGTGCACCTCCATCTGTTGGTGCTGAATTTTGCTCCTGTTGCTTAATGCAGCTGTTTGCAGTGCATACCTCCTTGTGCAGCTATTGTGTGGCTGAAGTGCAACAGATAACAGGGTATGGATACCTGGGGAATTAAATTAGCTCAGAATGTACAGATCTAAGCTACCCCGTTGAGGCAGGCCTTATGGTAATCCTGGGACACACAGCAATGAAATCTCCAAACTCTCTGCCACTGCCTTGCTTAAGTCTTCTTTGTTGTTTTTGACCATGTTCTGAGACCCTCATATGTTCTTCTCTATCTGCTTTAGCATGGACAGATGGAATAAGGGGCAAATCCCAAAGCCAAAGTATCCCAGCTGAGTAAATGTCCCTGAGACGCTGCAGGGTTGGGTCCTGCTCAAGCAGAAATGGGTACCTGAGGGCCCAAAGGCAGCATTCTGTTTTGGAGCTGTTCTTTTGCAATGCAACACATCTTCTAACACGTGATCAGATAATTGTAAACCCTGGGCCCCTTTTTGACTGATTTCTGTGAACAATTTAATGGAGAAAAAATTTATGCAGAGAAAATTGCGGACTGATAGGGCTGTGGGATACTTAAATTCTTTGCCATTAGTACTTACCCTTATATAACTTCACTTAATTGCAACTGAAACAATCCCACCTGCTACTTCTGGTGGTCAAAGAAGGCACTCAGACTTTGTATTTGTGGCCACTGAATGATTGCCATCAGCTGCCCCCAGTAAAACTTTGTGTGGAGACAGGAAAGAAAAACTGTTAATTCTGAATATCAAAATCATGGAAATGCAACCTGCTCCTGGTGGGTTTTGTGGGCAGAAGCTGAAGGAAGGAATTATTTGTTTAAATTAATAGAAAACATCCTGTTGTAAGAATCCCCACTGATCTTAATTGCAAGGGCAAAGCGCAGGGAGAAAAACTTATAATTGAAACCATAGAGGGCTGTATAGATCAAGCCCAGCGTTCCTCCTTGCCCAGTGCAAGCCAGACGAGGAGCACGGTGCAACCATCTGGTGCCTTTTGCAGTAAATGGAGCCTCCCAGCCCTCTCCAAGTAAAGAGCATTGCAGTAATTGGATCTGGAGGAAGCAATCCAAGGGCACCTCCGGGATGCAGCAGGGTACTGCAAGCACGTGCCTGTGTGCAGAGCCCTGGTGTTGGGATCACCTGCCTCTCTGTTGTCTCCAGTCCCGGTGAGAAAGCCTGTGAGAATGAAGTAAGCCCTGATCCGAGCTGCTCTCTGCCTCCCTTTTGTTCAGTCTGGCCTGCTGAGATGGCAGACTGGTGGGATATTGCCTGCTGTTCAGAGGTTTGGTTTCCTTTGTAAGAATGGCGAGCTGGGTGACAGGCACTGAGAGGCCTTTCTTAGGTGTTCAGCACGGGAAGCAGCGCTCCCCTGTTCTTGGCTTAAAAACTGTTCAAAGAAACGTTGTGTATCTGGTATAAGAAGAGAAAGAGGGAAATACAGTGTTTTTTCAATGGGGCTTTTGTCCCCTGTGCCACACAGGTGGCCTTGAAATGTCGTGGAGAATCTCAAACCTGGACGAGATCGGGTGGTAGAAGCGATGGAAGGTTTTAGTGGTGCAGGTTTGCTCTGGGTACATTCCAAGCCACCAAGGACTTTAAAATTTGACAATTGTCTTACTTAGCTTTAAAGCAAGTTTTATTTGGCAGCTCAAACGGGCTGCTAACTCTGATTGTATTTGAAGTTGAGAATGCACACAACTCACAAACGTGCATACAAGCAGATGCCTTAGGTTTGTCTGAATCCCTTCCTGGAACTGCATTCTGTTGTCCTTGATGCTTCTGAGAGTGGAACTTGGGTCCTGTCGTTGGTTGTCTTGTATTTCCAAGCGTCTCAGCATCAGTGTCTCAACTATCTTGTGCCTGTTTCTGCCCAGTATCATTTTTTTGTGCTTGTGGATGTTTGTTGGCACCTTCCTTGGACTTTGGTGTTGCTGATTTCAAAGCTTAAGAGCGATGCATGTTTCTTGGAGCTGTCTCTTGATGTTTTGTCATCTATGGAGTACTTTGGTTGTTCTTTTTGTCAGCCTCTTCCTTAGCTTACAGGTTGAAACCATTTTGAAAGCTGAAAGCCAAATTTTACATTGATGTTTCCAAACAGTGGTTTTTATAGAAGAATCAAGGGCCCAAACTGGCATACATTTAGAGCAGAGCTTTAAGTACCTTCCCACTAGCCTGCCTCATCATTTTACAATGACACAGTCAGGAGATCTGAATTTCTAACAAAATGAACATGTTTCCTGTGGCCTGAAATAGCTGTTAGAACAGCCTCTTGTTTCAGCCATTGGATTCCTTGTGTGGAAAGAGCTGCTCTGCTGCGGGCCGAGCGCACAGCCCAAAATGTGCCGTCAGCAGCCTGAGGTCCCCTCCGTGCTGCAGGAGAGCGGCTGCTGCCGGGAGGGAGGGGGGAATGATTCCAGGACACCTGTAAATCCCCGCAGCCTCGTGCTGAGGGTTTGATGTTAATTAGACAGCAGGCAGCAGTAATGGGTTGCAGTTCCCTTGGCTTGGCTGTTTCAGAAAGGGCGAAATCTTCCAGCGGAGGAAAGAACGGGCTGTTGGAGGGGCAGCAAACTGAATGGAACGATGATAATTTTATGCAAATTGGACTTCAGTAGCAGATTCAGCTTGGCTGAATCACAGAGGGAGCAGAAGAATGAGGGAAGAAAGAGGGAGAGGAAAAACCCAATCAAAATGTATGGTTTGAGGCATGTTTCACAGCCTTCTGTTTAGATTCTTCTACAGAAATGAAGAAACATAAGAGGAGTGCCACTGGTCACAGCCAGTGGAATTGCTCTTTCTCCTGTGTTACTGCTGTTAATAACTACAAGTGGGTTATTCAGCCAACCTCTGCTGATTCTGCTTTGCTGCCTGATTTCAAAAGCTTTGCCCCACGCCGGCACCTCCATCACAGCTTGCTGCAACCCGCGGCGCTTCGCACGCACAGCCAGCGCTGCCGGGGGTGGGGGAAGGAATGGAAATTCACCCAGAAGGTGCAGGAAGGACCTGGGGGGATTTTCCTTTGCTTGAGCAGGAGGAGTAATTGCAACATGAGGCCGTGCGGTGCTGCTTGCATGGGGCTGGGGCACAGTGCTGTGGGATCAGCCCCCCGGGTGGGGGGGTACTTGGTGAAGGTCAGGGTGAGGGGTGGTGGGAGGGCTCCTGGTCGTGGCCAGCAGCATGGCAGCGGTGCTGTGCCAGAGCTGTGCTCCTGCTGGTTCCCCTGCAAGCTTTGCAGCCTTGTTCGTGGAGCTGCGGAGGTGCGATGCCTTTCAGTCACACCTCGCCCCAGGGCCCGCCTGTGCTGCACGCATCAGCCCTTGGCTCTCGGTGCAGGATGGTGACAGTGACAGCTGAGCTGGGATACAGGAGGGTTCCTGCAGCCGTGCCTGCGGTTATGGCACAGCCCTGCTGCTGTTCTCCGCTCCTTCTTGAGATCTGTTTTCCTGCTGTGATTCCTGCCAGAATCTCTCCACCTGCATTCCAAGTGGTCTGGGAGTGGTTCCCAGAGCAGGGCAGCAGGGTGCTCACTTTGAGGCAGAAATGAGTGTTTGTTGCACTGTTTGGTTGGCTTTCTTCTTTCAGTTTTCTGAAAGCATCCCAGGGAGCACTACGTGAGTGCACCATGTGTAGGAGCTGCCTGTTCTCACCAGGCTGTTGTTTTCTTTCCATCTGAAGGAGATCACATGCAGCTTTCCCACCACTTAGCAAGACAGAAAAAAGGCACAAAACCCTGCATCCCTGTGTCCCTTTGAGCCCTAGCAGCAGGCTCTCAGCAAACTGTCTGTCCCTCAGAATGCAAATGGAGTTATTTAAATTTAGTTATTAAGCAGCAGATAGGCATGTCTTCAGCCCAAGAAGTTTTGTTTTCTGCCCTATGGCTTAAGGAAGTCAGGGGAACTTCCGTGCCTCTGTCAGTAAAGCACTGAACCTACAGCCTCACAGTGAATGTGGTTCTGATGTAACAAAATCTGTTTTGTGCATTGAGTTCACCCAGGGCTGTGACCATGGAAACACTGTGGTCGCTTATCACCAGGATTTCATGTCCAGCAGCCCAGGGCCTTGCCTATGGCTAAAGGCATTAGGAAACTCTGTAGTTTGATCTTCCCCAGGTTTCTGTAGGGAGGGAAGGACAAATGGCCAGATCTGTGCTCCCTGAAGCTTTACTTTTGACCTTTCCATGTTGCTGATCTCTGCACAAGCCTCCTGGGCGCATGTGTGTTTTTCTGGTTCAATCTTTGCTATTTTGAATGCCACACTGCAGCCATTTCTGCATCTTGCATGGAGCCATTTGCCACCTTGTGCTCCTGTGAATGGATGGGCAAAGTGTGACCACTGCTGGGAAGCTGTGCACCTCAGCTCCATTTAGCTCACAGCCATGGCTGAGTTGTGGTTTGCAAGCAGAAAAGCGGGGAGTTGTGGGCTGATGTTATGAAAGAACCACTCAATTTTGCTGAAGTTGGTCTCAAGTTGTGTTTGTTCTTTTTGGTGTTCACGGCCTTGATGCTGCAAATGCCAAGTGTTCCGTGGTGTTTGTGTGCATTTGCTTTGTTCTCGCCCTGTGGGCTGCTGCTTACTGGGGAGGTTTGGCAATGAGGATTTGGCTTTTTTTTCTGAACCTGTTGCAGTCTCCCTATGGGACACAGGCACTCTTTTGCATCTGTGCTGCTGTTTGCTCTTCTGTCAGGTGGGGCTGACTCCCACTCTGATCTTTGAAGCTCCGTTGGTGTTTGCACAGGGCTTGCAGCAGCGCCATGAGGTGCTGTAGGAATGCAGGGTGCCTTGCGAATGCAGCGTGCTTTCCTCATATGTGTTATTTGCATGTCATGTGCATGGTCTGTGTTTACTCCCGTGGCAGTCGTGGCAAGTCAGGTGGTGGGTGCCTCCTCAGGGTCAATGAAATTGAATTCTGCCTAATTTCTGCTGGACAAATTTGGGTTCGGTCAATTTAAAGGTGTCGCTGGTCTGCGGACCAGCCTGATGATAGTTTTTGATGATGGCTTTCACTAACCAATCTGTAACTAACTGTGGTTGTTTGATTACAGAGGGAACATCCCCACGCTAAACAGGTACGGTACTCATCATCTTTTAAAATTTGAACAGAAAGACTAGAAAGAAGTAGTCTAGTGCTCAATGTTCTAACATGTTTTGTTGTAGTGCCCTTCTCTTTGCTTCGGAAGCTCTCAAACCTAACTCTTTTCCCTCCCTTTTCCTCTCCCTTTGTCTAAAACATGTTTTCAGCTTTTCACCACCCTTTTTAGAAGCAGCTTTGCATGCAGCAGTCTCCACAATTAAATCTGCTCGGTGCGCCCGCAGTGCGGAGCGCAGCTCCTGCGTGGGTCTCTCCTTTTGGAACGGGATCCCAGCTGGTCCCTCTGTGGGGTGGCACAGGGAGCAGGGCTTTGCCTTGGGCTCATAGCACACCTGTTGCCGCTCTGGTTTCTCGCAACTAGCTTAGAATTCGTTGAGGCTGTCTTACCTCCCTCGTGCCATAGATGAATCTACATCTCCAACAGCTGACAGCATGTTTTGTTGTGTTCTGGATGCTAATTTTTCCTCCCGTGTCTCAGTTGAAAAGTATTTCTTGTTTTAAATAATACATGAAAAATGTCTGCTGTCTCTTTGTTTAGTTACTGTTCTGTGATATGTTTTGTATTGGCTGTAAGAAATGTACACCAAGGCATGTCCTGAAACATTTTTCTCTTTCAAAACATGAATACTTATTATTTATTACTGCTTACATGCCTATTTAGGGAAAATAGTACAAACGGGCTCGAAAGTCTCGTGGCTCTTAATCAGAGATAAATTACAGAAACATTGACTTTATACACAGAGAGCTATTAATCAAACTGATGATAGCTTAGAGTGGCTATTGGTGTTCTTAGGGCCGTGTCACAGTGGTTTTCTGTGGGAAGGACTGGGGAGTGAATGAAGCAGCAGTGTGAGCCATGCCCATCCAGCACCACGTGAGCGCTGGTGGGACAGCAGGAGGTGGACGTTGCTGTGGTGCTGTGCTGAATCAATGCCCTCATTCCTGCCCTTACGGCACCACCTGGGGAGGACAGAACTTGACTTTGTTGATGTGTCCTGAGCCCCAAGGGGAGGGAAGGGAGGGCGGGCTGCCCTGAGCTGCAGGAGCCCATCCTGCAGGGAATGCAGCTGGGTCTGTAGTGTGCAGTGCAGAAATGAGGAGCGCTGTTCCCCTTTACTCCAGAGAAGGCAAAACCCCATTCTGCCTGCTGGAGAGGGGGTGTTTAGTTGGTTGGAGTATTTGTGTTGACATGCAAGGAACTTCCTCTGCTAGTCTTGGCCACGACAACGTGGAGCTGTAACAACAACAAAAGCAAATCAGAAAAATAAACACAGAAGAAACAGATGACAAAATCTCACTGCCCAAATTAACAGAAAAGCTCACTGCCCAAACGAACACCAGCAGTTTCACAGCAGTGTATGCTGCCACAGCTGTTGAGCTATCTGAGAAGTCAGTGCTACTTTAATGTGCACAGGATCATGCCTTCTCCAGGAAAGAATACTGACCTTTGCAGTGAGCAGTTTTGCCCTAAATAGAAGTCCTTTACTTGGTGCCTTCCTCTGAGCTTGTGTAAATCTGTCCTGGTGCCACTCACTGACATCAGGAATTGGCCCTGGATGAGTGCTGCACTCACTGTACAGGCAGGAGCAGAAGAGGAGTGGCTGTTATTCCACCTGTAAAGGACCATATGGGGGGGAAAAATGTGTTCAGCTTTGCATAGTCATAGTTCACCTGTCTCCTCCCTTAACCCTAAGAAGTACTGGTTCTGAGGGCTTATAACATTGTTTCCTGACTCTGTGCCTTGGGAGGATGTCCAGGTAAGAGAATCAGTGGCAGCAGACACGTGCCACCATTGCAGGGCCCTAGGAAATGGCAGCACAGCAGCTCTGGCGTGCCGAGAACCCAGCAGTCCTGCAGTGTCACTCAGGATAAACAGCCATGCGTTGGGTGGTCGGAGCACGTGCGCACACGCAGATGTTTGTCCTCAGGTGACCTTCTCTCCCTTGTCCCTACTGACTGTGCTGTTACTGTGTTGCCATTTAGAATGTCCTTCTCTTCCAACCTCAATCACTACGGGATGGTCCACGTAGCCAGTGTGAGTGATGTGCTGCTGGACAACTCGTTCACTCCGCCGTGCCAGCGGATGGGCGGAATGGTCTCCTTCCGCACGTTTGAGGATTTTGTCAGGTATGTGGGGAGGCTGATGGTTGTGTTCCTTGGTGGGCGCAAATGGGACTGTTTAGAAGCAGGCTCAAAGCGATCCTGAGCTTGTTTGTTCAGCTCTTGGGGTGTCTGTTGGGATCCTCTCATCTGCCTCCTTCAGCTAATGGAAGTTTTCAGGCCGCTGCCAGAGCAGCGTGCGGCCAGAAGGAGCAGCATCCAGAACTGCTGCTGGCTGGAGATCATCTGCTTCTGTGCTGATTTCCAGTGCTCCTGTACACAGGGGAGGGGATATTCTTTGTGCTTTCAGCATTTCTGGACTAGACAAAAAAGACAGCAGAGCTCATGGCAGTCATGAATGCCTGCGGCCATAGGATCTGTGACAAGTGCAGGAAGATGCAGGCTGTGCTCAGGTGGAAGGATGGAGGAGATCCTGCCTCCTCATCTTTTGAGTCTCAGTCCTGCAAATGGAAGCAGTCCTTTTCTCTCCTCTCCTCTTGGCAATGTGATTTGTGGATTTTAGGGCTGTATGCCTTCAGTGAGCTACAGCAGTGTGTTTATGACTAATACTTCTCTGGTGTATTTCAGAATCTTTGATGAAGTGATGAGTTGTTTCTGCGACTCTCCTCCCCAGAGCCCAACCTTCCCTGAAGCTGGCCATGCTTCCCTCTATGATGAAGACAAGGTACAGTAATTTTTCTCTCTGGAGGTTGCTCTCAGTTTGGAAATGGAAGACATGCAGAATGCTGCAGTGACTGCAGGCTAGATGCTTTCCACTTGTTCCAGTGCTGGAAGCAGGAGTTAAGAGCTTTATGTATTTATGTATGTGTTTTGTTTGCTCTTTTCACAGCAGGTGAATAAAAGTAGGTGGCCATTTCCTGACTGTTCTAAAACCAGAGTTATGTCTTACTCTCCATGTAAATTCAGATTGTTGCTTTTAGCATCAGTAGAATTATTGGATCCATGGCAGTGTAACTGAGAGCTCAGACAGAGTAGGTTTCCACTTGCTTTACATTCTGACTGTTCTCTCTCTTTTGCCAGTTAGAACTCTTTTTATGAGAAAAAAGAGAGTTGAAGCCCTGACAGTTTTTGCACTGACGTGGAGAACAGGTGCAGAGGAAGCAGATGGTTTGTAATTCTTAGTGACAGAAGAAATGCTGTCCCTGGCACCACAGGTAGCTGCTCACTGCTCAGTCCTGCCCCCAGCAGCTGGGACCTCTGGTGCAGTACAGTCTGTGTTCAGAGCAGGGCTTGGTTTTAAACTTAGCTGTTGATCTGGATGTGTGTAAATACTGAGGCCTTGTTCCAGAGCATTGCCATCAACCTTAATGTCCTCAGATCTTTCTCTTTAACTCCTCATTTCACCAAGGAAAATTTTCAGTTCATACTCAGTTTGTCAGAGTTAACCACAAATTTTTGAGCACTACGTTTGTCACTTCTCAGACCTCCAATGTCATTGACACTTCCAATTACATTATTTCGTTCTGTTGCAGATGTGAAAGTGCACAATGTTTTGCTCTTATACTAAATTTACTTAATGCCATTACCTTTCAAGATGCCAGAGCCCTTTTATGCCTTGCCTGCATTGCATCTCATGAAGAGAGGCCCTGACCCTGCATTCATTTTGCATCCAAATGAGACATGCTTGAGTTCACCAAGTCAGAACTGGATCCTCCAAACGAAGCTCCTGTTTGCTGTTTGTGGATTTTCTCTCTTACTTCTGAAACATGAACTTGTGAGGCTGCTTGATCAAGGATTTCCCCTGTTGTTTTCCTTGTTTGATAGCAAACTCTGCTGAAGTCATCTGTTTCCTATGGGACCTGAGTTTAAGAGTTGTTGTTCACAGTTTATTTATGTGGCATGTGTTCTTCAAATTGCAGGCTGCCCGTGAGGAGCCCATTCACATTCTTAATGTTGCTATTAAAACTGATGGGGACGTTGATGATGATGGGCTGGCAGCCATGTTCAGAGAGTTCACACAGAGCAAGGTAAGTCAGCTCAGTTCTCTCCCGCTCTGGAGCAGGCTGCCTGTTCAGGACAGGTCTGTCTGCTTTGGGAAGTCATTGTGCTTCTCAGATGTTTTTTCCACAAATAAATGCAATAGTTGCATCCTTAATTTCTGCCATCTGAAATCTTACCACTTCACTGTTTGGATATCGCTACCCCTTTCTGAAGCCTCCAAGGTGGACACTGAAAACCACGCAGCTCTCATTTTAGTTTGTAGCACTTCGTGGTCCATTCTAATCCTTCACCTCAGGACTTTCAATTTCTGGTAGGGTAAAAGACCTTAAAAAATATATATATATATTTGTCAGGTGATGTTTTTTGCCCCAAGTGGAATTGCTTTGGTATGCTTTATTGCTCCGTGAGATTCACTTCAGGGTATCAAGTATTGATCCTGTGGCCACTCCTGAGAAAGCTGTGTTGGGGGCAGCCACTAGTGCCTGTGTTCACTTGCTTTCCTGATGGGCGTGAAGAACTCAGGCTTGTTGGTATGAATGGCTCTCTGGGCACTGGGAGCCTGCTGCATCCATGCTACCTGCAGTGGCTGTGAGAGCACTGAGAGAGCAGTTTGTAACTTCTCTTCCCAGCTTGGAAGTTAGTCATACGTTCTGCAGAAAAGAGGGGTTCCCACGTGGGACTGGTACCTGCTAGACTTCAGCAGCTTCCTGCCTCTTTAAGCAAAGCAAATAATCAAATATAAAAATTAAAACTAGTGTTACTTTTCATCTTCTTGATCATGCTCGAGGCGTTTTATGGGAGGGGATAAAAGGAAAGAAATTAAAAAAAAAAAAAAATTCCCAAACACATTAAACTATCAAATAGGTTGATCCAAATTGTCCAAATAATCTTCTAGTCCCAGCATGTTGTGTGTGTTTTTTCTAATAGAAATTAGGATCATATACTTGTAAATGACTTGTGGAGGAGATTGAGGCAGTCGGTGTAAATGGAGTTTCTCCAGGTGCTGATGGCTAATCGCTCTGTAATGGCTGTGGACTCGCTGTGAGACCCGCATTATTACGATGTAATCAGAATCCTGTTGCTATGCTGTTATTGTCTGCCACTTGTGGAATTTTAAAAGCAATAACAATTTTTGCTTTTTAAATCATGGAATTATTAAAGTTATTTTCTTCCTCTTGCTATGAATATAGTCGCTGATGCTCATTTTCAAAGGGCTTAACCTTAGTAAAACATTGCTGTCTGTGCTGAAAGGGGTTGTTTTGTTCCTGGGCTAGCAAAGTTCTCATTTCATTTTTTTTCTTCTTTTTTTATTTTGATCTTTTTTGCTTTTCAATTGGAAAAAGGAGGAGACAGGATAAAGTTTTAAAGGGGCAAAATTACGAGTTTTTTAACGCTTAAAAAAGCCAGTGATGTGGCAAATGCTCATCACACCACTTTCATTTGCAATGTGGCTTTCTGGAATTGGTTCAAGAAGCAACCAGAATGGGCACATCTGATAGGTGCCTGAGGGACGGTGCCACAAATACCATTTGTCACCTTTGTGATATCGATGGATCCGTCCTTTGGTCAGGGTTGTTCATGTATTGCTTGTGCCAAAATCAAGTACGTGGTGTCGTGCTTCTTTGGGTCAGTTCCTCTAAAAGGATCCCTTTCCATGGCCTCACCATGCCTATCTTGTGCTAAGAAAGAAATCTTTGCAAAAAGACCAACTTGTGTTGACCGATGAGAGAAAGCCCTTCAAGACTTGTAGCCAACTCTTCTGCTCTGCTTGTTGGCAAGGTTCACCTGGGGTGCTTTGCCCTTGCCCTGTGGTTACTTAACTGCAGACTTTATGAATTTGCTTATGTGTGCTGCAGTGCAGTCAGCAGATGGGAGATCGTAGCTGTGAGTAGATCAAAACCGGCTGGGAATGAACTTGCAACAGAGGTGCAGGAGCATCTGTAGAGCTTTTCTGGTTCAGAGAAGACTTGCACACATTGTGAATGTGTTCCTTCTCTGTGAAGCTAAGTCTTGATTCCTTCTTTTCCTTTTGCAGAAATCAGTCCTGATTGAGCATGGCATCCGGAGGCTGACATTCCTTGTGGCACAGAAGGTATTTTGGTGTCTCTCATGCTGCTAAAAACTCTTTGGTTTCTAGTTCATAGAAGCATTGAATTTATTGTGCTTGTCACAAGTTAAGTCCAATAACTGCAGTTATTTCTGACTTCACTGTTTTTGTTCTTTAAAATTGGAGATTGTTTTAATGCATTTGCTTAAGAAAATTAATTTACAATTGTAAGCAATCTTGGCACCTCTTGTAATCTTGATAATTCATTTTTGATTTTCATTCTAATTGCTAGCTTTCTTCTGCTTTTTTTTTTTTCTTTTTTTTCTCTTCCTGTGTTTGTGTGGTTCGTTTGTAAGGACTTCAGGAAACAGGTCAACTGTGAGGTGGATCAGAGATTTCATGTAAGTAAAAAAGGCTCTGGAACATGGTGGTATTTCTGATGAGAGGCCAAGAGACTCGTAAGCGACTCTGGTTCTCATTTGGTTCTTAGCCAGGCCTTTGATGCCAGCATTGTATCAGAGTTGAATTTCACTACGAGGCCGGACCTGCTGCCTTCAGCAGGGCTGCTTGCATGCTCATTGCCTGGCTAACCTCATGGCTGGCACTTTGACCAAGGTCTTCATTGTATTCACATAGTTCTATATTCTGAAATGCAATCACATTTTTTTATTTCTTACATGCTGTGGGGATTCCTTCAGTCTTCTCCCTGATTTCAGTATAACTTAGAGGAATGACTGAAGTGACTTGCTAAATTTTGTCTGACGACTTAATGACGTGGAAAATGTTTGGTGCTTCTGCTGCTGTGAATTACTTCTTTCTCCTGGGCTTTGGCATCTGCAAGACTTAGGTTGGCCCTGTTTTCAAGGTGGCAAAGCATAAGCAGTATTTTTAGCCCTTCTGTAGCTGCTTTACAACTCTGGAGGTTGTTAGGAGTCTTTAAAGTGCAAGAAATTCATCCTGTGTTTAATGAACCTGGTTCAGCAAGTTGAGCACTGCTGGGAATCCGTGACCACGGTGCACAGACAGGTACTGGTGAGAGGGTTATGTAGGAATTGGACTCTTAGAAGGAAACCCTAGCTTTAGATGGGAAAAAATGAATTTTTAGAGAGTTGGGTTGATACTTGAAGAACGCAAAGCAGAAGTCTATGGATAAGCTCTGCAGCATGCATCAGAGATCAGGCTTGGACCGAGGCAGCCTTGTGCTGGCCCTGAGCTGTGCTGATGTGATGTGCTGGTAGGATGCTCCTGAGCCAGAGGGTGCACTGCACATCTCATCTGCCTGCAAAGTTTCTAGAGCACCGCTGGGACGTTTTGTGTCAGTCTTTATTACCATCTCCTGTTCTATTCCGTTTATTATTGGACCAACTATTAACTTAGCCAGGGCCCAGGCTTGGGTTTGTTTTTGTTTTAATTACAGTCTATATAATTAGTTCCCAGCATGTTGAGGTAATAGAGAGTTGCTCCAGCAAGCTTCCAATTTCCTCATCTCATTAGGTTTTTAACGTGATTATTAGTATAATAATCAACTATGATGATTTCTGTTGTAGCTTTTCACATTCTGCGATTTGCAGGGTGTCTTGATTGGCTAATTTAGGCAAATTATTTTGATTGTCTTGATGATGGTTGGTTGATGAGAACACAGCGGGGGTATAATTCTTCTGCCTAGGAAATGGAGCACTCTTTTGGATTTTGGTACCAGAGCACTGAGAATTTTTTTGTGTGCACATCTAATTATTATATTTGCCCACAACAATAGTCAAATGCCTTGAAAGCAATTACATTAGTGATAGAATGGGCATGGATGATATTAGGGGAAATTGGCAGTGTGCAGGGGGGAACAGGTGGGAGGGATTTGGAAGAGAAGTGAGGAAACATGGAAGTCCTGCGTGTGCTTGTTGCAGAGCACTTGGTCCTTGTAGGCTCACCTATGTGCCCCTATGTGTCTGAATGTTCAGGCAGGGTTCCCTTACTTCTGGCTGGTCCAGAAGACACACTCCAGTCAAACACAGGTTCTTTTGTTCAGCTATCGGGGGGCATTCCAGGGGCTGTTTTTTGTGGGAGGTTAGGATGATTTACAAGGTGGTTATTTTATCTGCTGTTTGTTGCACTGAATCAAGCTAGGCTTGCACGCCCTTATTGATGGTGAGAATGTGATTCAGAAATTCAGTGACTTCAAGTCAGAGACCGCCTTTATTTCTCAATGAGAGCTCTGGCCAGCTGGGTGTGCTCCTTTCTGTTACCTGAAGTACCAATGGCTGGTGTTCTCGTGTTGGTGCAAAGCATTCAGAAATGTTCCTTCACGCAGTGCGAGTGCAGTTCCACAGAAATAGATGACTTCTTGAATGGAATTGAGGGTGTGCATAGCAGGATGCTGTCTAGACTTGCTGCCCTCTGAGACATTCAGTGCACCACAAAAAAAATATAAGCCTTTTACATTTTGCTAGGATATAATCTGAGCAATAGAATAACAGAGAAACCTAACCAATAGCTGGGAGGTTTTTCTGAGTTCTACTTCCACATGGAATGAAGTTCTGTTATTACAATTCATAATTTTCATTGGAAAGAGGGTATTTCTAACAGTAGGGCTGTGAAGATAACTTCATACAGTTAATATAGATTGTTCTGTGTACATCAGCTTACATAACAAGGTGTTAACGTGATTGTACAGCTCCCAAACGTTTCCACAATCACTGCAGCAATAACAGAACTAGCAGAAGTTCAATTGTATTGTCTGTTGATAATTGACCACAATAATAAAAAGCCAGTCAAGTGGCATCTGTTGCATTGACGGCAAAGACAGGCCTGAACTACCTCTGCTGCCTTGCTGGGGGTAACTTGGTTTTCCACTGCTTTGTAATGCTGCAAAAGTAGCTGGGAACAACTTCAGTGATCTCCTCTGTTACGGTGCTACCCCAGGTGGATAGCTTCTGGAGGATTAATGTCATCGTTTTTGTTTTCAGAGGGAATTCCCAAAGTTCTTCACGTTCCGTGCCCGGGATAAGGTAAGCTGTACAATCTAAAGTCTTTCTTCTCTAAGCACTCATTGTATCCTCTCACGTAGCTGCTCGTGCTGCTGTTGCAGGGAGCTGCTTCAGCTCAGCTTCACTGCACAGTGTGGTATCTTCACCTTCCCACACAGCAGTAGATTCCAGGAACAATGATGAGTCTCTGGTAACGGGATAAAAATTAATGCATTTGGAACCTGACTTAAAGCTTCTGTGTTTGTGGGTTTCATTCACAGCATAACAGGGGAAGTGTAGAAGCTGTATAATGATTCGATATCAAACTTCTTGGCTTCCCTGAAAAAGAGGGGAAAGAGCTGGAGAACTTGCTGTCTTACATTGTGTGTTCGACTCTTAGTAGTTCAACAATTTAGTTTGAATTTTTAGCCTTTTAGGGCATATGAATGTAATATAATGGATGTACGAATGAATGCAATGGGTATCATCCAGATTTCTACATCCTCAGCGTTCCACCCTCTTAACCCACCTCCTCTGTACATCCTTCCCTCTCTGCTCATGCTGCGTTCCTTCAGTTTGAAGAAGACAGGATCTACCGCCATCTGGAGCCAGCGCTGGCTTTTCAGCTGGAGCTGAACCGAATGCGAAACTTTGACCTCACTGCCATTCCGTGTGCCAACCACAAAATGCATCTCTACCTGGGAGCAGCTAAAGTTGAAGTAGGAACAGAAGTGACGGACTACAGGTTCTTTGTGAGGGCCATTATAAGGCATTCAGACCTAGTTACCAAGGTGAGTTTTGTCATCCAGCTGAGCTCTCTTTCCAAGACAGCCTATAAAACTCTGTAAATCCCTTGAGAATCTGCCTGAAAACATATAGCACACATAGAGTGCCGCAGTTGTGTGCCCTCTCTTTGCTCACACTGGCTTTGCAGCAGCATGTCTTCAAAGGCAGTATTCCTGTACCTTACAGAGATTTTTCTCTGGGCTGTGGATAGTCAGAAATCCCTGCAGTAGTTATTTCTCCCTGTTCCTCCTGCTACTGAAGCAAGTTTTACCTGTCCAAGTTCGTATTTATGCTGACCTAAACAAGTCAGCTGGATATGTGGACCCAGAAGGTGGGAGTACTGCCTCTGTGACTGTGATTGATCTGTTTTAGCGCTGCGCATCCTGCTGATACTAAAGTAACCTGTTTTCTCAGTCAAGTCCTTCTGCAGTTTTTCAAAGGCTGTTTACTTGGGTTGTGATTTTTGAATAGAAGGTAAATTATTTGTTGACAATGTCTGGCAGGAAGCCTCCTTCGAGTATCTGCAAAACGAGGGAGAGCGATTGCTTTTGGAAGCCATGGATGAGTTGGAGGTGGCATTTAATAATACCAACGTGCGCACTGACTGCAATCACATCTTCTTAAATTTTGTGCCTACTGTCATCATGGACCCATCTAAGGTATGGCCTTCTTGCCAACCCTGAACTGTTTGTTTTTCTTGGGCTTTGCTTGCCAGAATAAACGGTCGTTTGTTGTCTCTCTATGCTGTGTAACTGCACCTATTGACTGAGTGCATTTTAATGGCTTGGTGAATGATATGCAGTTCCTACCAGCCTTTTTTGTAGCAGAAATCACAAGAAGTTGGGGACTAGTGTTACAAGTGATAACGTGAGGGTCTGTTTAGTTCCTCCAAATATTGGAGTTCTGCTTTTCAGTAGTGAGCCATGGGAGTGCTGAGAGATTCTGCACTGCTTGTTCAGTTATTTAATGACTAATTTTGATTTCTTCTTGTCAGTGTAAGTCATATGGAGTATACTTTTGCCTTGGGAATGGGCTGGTAGTGCATGTTACTACCAGATAGAAAGAGAGTAATGCTGTGTGTTAACCCAGATCTGTTAGGGGTAGCTTTGGAAGCCTTTTAGGTAAAAACAGCTCTAACACCTGTGCTATTTGCAAGAACCACTTCTCATGTTCCTTATGTCTTTTAAAGACATGAGGGATTAGAATGGATAAACGAGTTTGTAGGCATAAATTACATTTGTGGTTAGCAGACCACTGCAAAGCAAGTCCTGGATATGCTGTAAAGGCTGCATGGCTGCGTGTGGTTGGGAATCAACATTCTGCTCATGGTTACCAAAGGATATGAGAGCTGACCTTTCCTCATGAGAATAACTGAAAGTTTAAAAAGATGAATTGGTTATCGGAGTAAGGATCTCTTGCTTGCTGACTTTAACTCATGATTAAAAATTGGTGATTTAAATTGCTTTTGAATAAATGCGCTCTCAGTGAATCCTGACCCATCAGTTCTCAGGAGCACCAGGGGTGTGCAGGCCCGGATGTTGGGCAGCCTTCAGATGCACACCGTGACTTTTTCCTGAGCAGCAGTGGAAAGGAGACTTTTTTTTTTTTTGGAAAGAATGTTAAAAACAGACTATAAATTGCCTTCTTTTAATATGCGCTATTTGCCAACAGTAGTATATTACAAAGTTTAATAGAACACCAGAAGGCCAAGCTCCAAGCAGTAATTACTTTGTTGATTTAAAGCACTGTACCGTGTGTGCTGTGAAACATGATTATTGTGCATATAAGTGCTATACAACTGTTTGTCAAGGATTTCACTTTCCTGTGTTTTGTAATTCTGAGCTCTGAGCTGTGCTTGCAGGAGAGAGGTCAGTGCAGGGGACGCAGTGCTTGGCTGGGGAGTGAGGTGTCTGAGTTCAGTGCCATCCCTGCGTTTTGGGTCCTGCTCCTGCATATCAAGAGCTGTCAGGATGAGAAAGGGTCTGGTAGCAGCTCGTGTGGAGCTCTCTTTCCACGGCCCCAAAATGCTGGGCTGCCCTTGGAGCAGAAGCTTACAGCTGCGGGGTGCTGTGTCCAGAAAGGTGAGGCAAGTTCTGCTGTGTTTTAAGATCGAGGAATCCGTGCGCAGCATGGTGATGCGCTACGGGAGCCGCCTGTGGAAGCTCCGCGTCCTCCAGGCCGAGCTGAAGATCAACATTCGGCTGACACCCACAGGAAAGGCCATCCCCATTCGGCTCTTCCTGACCAACGAGTCGGGCTACTACCTGGACATCAGCCTGTACAAAGAGGTGACGGATTCCAGGACGGCGCAGGTATGGTTCCACGTGGCTCTGTGGTTTCGTGCTCAAAGTATTTGTGGGGGGCGTATTGCACCTGATAGGGCTCTTCTGTGGTTTGCTGTGTTTTCAGGTAATATAAAACAGCCATAGCAATATAAAACTTCGCCACACCAAGAAGAGCATATCATTGTAAAATAATTGCAAGAGGAACGTAGGAGTAGTAAATATAATGTTTTGTAAAAGTGCATGTCCCCTAAAAGTGCATGTCCCCTAAAAGTGCATGTCCCCTAAAAGTGCATGTCCCCTA